AAGAGGAAGTATCGAAACGTTTTCATGATAGTAACTGCCAATCGAAACTGCTCAAGAAAATAAATTCATCATTTCTGTATATGATTTTACGTTCAGTAGTATACATTGAGTTTAATCGAAATATGTTTAGAAGAGTTATAATCGAAATAATATGCTTAAAATTCAGTATAAATGTAACCACAATTCGTATCTACTTTGTTAGAATTTGCAATAGAATAACTAAAATGTTTTTACTGTTTGTAAATAATTACTACAATAGGTAAATTATAAATGAAAAGATAGTAATGACATTAAAATTTGTCATGTAGAAAGAGAAGCTTATTTTATTGGTAAACACGATTGTACATTTTAAAAGATCTTAATAAGGTCTAGGAGGTGGTCCGCCTCTCATCATGCCAGGAGGTGGTCCTCTCATTCCAGGAGGACCCATCGGTGGTCCTCCACGTCCCATGGGTGGCATTCCTGGTGGCATACCTATAATCGAATAAAAACATTTCATTTTTTCAAAAAAAGATCCCTTCAGTAAAGGGAAGAGATTTAGTAAAATATAAATAATTACCCATCATTCCCGGTGGTGGGCCCATCATTCCTGGTGGAGGACCTCCAACTGGCATACGTGGAGGACCACCAGGATGCATCTGTGGTGGTGCTGAAACCTGACCCCTACCGCCTGGTGTCATAATTTGTTGCGACGGGCCACCAACACCCCTGACAGGTCCTTGTAACCCGGTAGGTACTCCAGCAACATTAGCAGGCATACCACGACCAGTTGCACGACCCATACCAGGTCCCGCAGCTGCTCCAGGAATAGGTACTCTAGGCAGTCCTTCTTCTGGGGGTGGAGGACCTTCTACTGTTAGAGAAACAATATTTTCTCCTCGTAAGAGTACAAAACCTAGCACACGTTTATCTTCTCTTTCTGGTTGCTTCGTATTTTTTGGTTTAATTTTACGAAATTCCTCGCAATCTCCAAGTATAAGATTCATATGTTTATCGAAAGCTTTAAACGTGCCAATAAATGTTCTAGAGTCTTGAAGAATAATTCTGACTCTGTAATTAATATGTTGTAACATCTTGTTATTCTTGCCGATCGTCTGAAACGAAAAAACCGTATTGTTAGGTTATAATGATATTACGCTTGTAATACTACAAATACTTGGGCTTTGTTATTTTATATTTACCATTTTGATAATATACTGGTCCTTAACTTTTACGTATCAGAAAGAATTTATCTGTTAACTTTTATGTGAACAATTACGGAAATGAAAATATCTTGGCGGCTTCACCTTCGCCGGATTTGACTGTCGCTCAACAACAAAACTTTACCACATGAATAGATGGCGTTTTGTATATGTATGATATACGTTCTTATCCTGAACTGGCTATGAAATCCCTAGTAACTAGAACCTAGTTCCTTCTTTAGTACTGGATTGCTTTATGTATGAATTATATTTAGTATGATATTGCTTTATGTACAACGATTTTCCACCTTAATTTTATGTTTGGTGGATTAGTGCTTGTAATATTTTCAACTAAAACTTTATAATTATTTGTCGCTATTTTCCAATTACGTTGAAATTCATTACTGTCGGACGATTTTATGTTTTTGATTATAAGCTTCCGTTATCAAGGAACTTGTACCAAATATAGTTTTGTTCTTGGGTTTATGTAAAATGCCGGGACTAGACATTATTATCGGACGCATACGAGCGAGAAGCCGTATCAGTGTGAATATTGTAGTAAATCGTTTTCGGTGAAGGAGAACTTGAGCGTGCATCGTCGTAACAACAGGTAAATTATAAAAAGATAGTAATGACATTAAAATTTGTCATGTAGAAAGAGAAGCTTATTTTATTGGTAAACACGATTGTACATTTTAAAAGATCTTAATAAGGTCTAGGAGGTGGTCCGCCTCTCATCATGCCAGGAGGTGGTCCTCTCATTCCAGGAGGACCCATCGGTGGTCCTCCACGTCCCATGGGTGGCATTCCTGGTGGCATACCTATAATCGAATAAAAACATTTCATTTTTTCAAAAAAAGATTCCTTTCAGTAAAGGGTAGAGATTTAGTAAAATATAAATAATTACCCATCATTCCCGGTGGTGGGCCCATCATTCCTGGTGGAGGACCTCCAACTGGCATACGTGGAGGACCACCAGGATGCATCTGTGGTGGTGCTGAAACCTGACCCCTACCGCCTGGTGTCATAATTTGTTGCGACGGGCCACCAACACCCCTGACAGGTCCTTGTAACCCGGTAGGTACTCCAGCAACATTAGCAGGCATACCACGACCAGTTGCACGACCCATACCAGGTCCCGCAGCTGCTCCAGGAATAGGTACTCTAGGCAGTCCTTCTTCTGGGGGTGGAGGACCTTCTACTGTTAGAGAAACAATATTTTCTCCTCGTAAGAGTACAAAACCTAGCACACGTTTATCTTCTCTTTCTGGTTGCTTCGTATTTTTTGGTTTAATTTTACGAAATTCCTCGCAATCTCCAAGTATAAGATTCATATGTTTATCGAAAGCTTTAAACGTGCCAATAAATGTTCTAGAGTCTTGAAGAATAATTCTGACTCTGTAATTAATATGTTGTAACATCTTGTTATTCTTGCCGATCGTCTGAAACGAAAAAACCGTATTGTTAGGTTATAATGATATTACGCTTGTAATACTACAAATACTTGGGCTTTGTTATTTTATATTTACCATTTTGATAATATACTGGTCCTTAACTTTTACGTATCAGAAAGAATTTATCTGTTAACTTTTATGTGAACAATTACGGAAATGAAAATATCTTGGCGGCTTCACCTTCGCCGGATTTGACTGTCGCTCAACAACAAAACTTTACCACATGAATAGATGGCGTTTTGTATATGTATGATATACGTTCTTATCCTGAACTGGCTATGAAATCCCTAGTAACTAGAACCTAGTTCCTTCTTTAGTTCTGGATTGCTTTATGTATGAATTATATTTAGTATGATATTGCTTTATGTACAACGATTTTCCACCTTAATTTTATGTTTGGTGGATTAGTGCTTGTAATATTTTCAACTAAAACTTTATAATTATTTGTCGCTATTTTCCAATTACGTTGAAATTCATTACTGTCGGACGATTTTATGTTTTTGATTATAAGCTTCCGTTATCAAGGAACTTGTACCAAATATAGTTTTGTTCTTGGGTTTATGTAAAATGCCGGGACNTGTTTGGTGGATTAGTGCTTGTAATATTTTCAACTAAAACTTTATAATTATTTGTCGCTATTTTCCAATTACGTTGAAATTCATTACTGTCGGACGATTTTATATGTTTTTGATTATAAGCTTCCGTTCTCAAGGAACTTGTACCAAATATAGTTTTGTTCTTGGGTTTATGTAAAATGCCGGGAACTTTGGGTAATTTTTCATCTTCTTGTAAATTTGAATATAAGCTGCTCATAGCATTCATTATTTCTTTAATTTTACTTTGCTGCAACTCGTTCGTATTTGTATCAAAATATAGATATTTACTAGGTACGTTTGTAATTATATTTTGATTTATTCTGTCACAATAATATAAAATCGATTGTGTTTTTGTAGCATTAGAGAATACAGTCTTTCCTTCACCTGTAGTTAATAATCTTCCATTCTTTTTGTTAAGGTGATCATTTTTAGACTTTAGTATACCTTTTGGTAATCCGAAAGAGATAAAAGGCACACGTTTCACTACGAGTTTTTCAACAATATAATCGCATTCTTGAGATTTTTCATTGAAAAAACTTTCATGGGAGTCCTTTTTGCGAATGACTTTAAAGCAACTAAAAAGGAACTTGTAACAATTTCTTTTAGTACCAGAAGCAGAATAATTTTGGGATGAATCAGAAATTTTAGTTTCAATCGAAATAATAGAATTTTGTAGTTTGCTGTTCTTCATTTTGAAGATCCTTTACCATAGTATGATATAATTTAATTATTATGATTTTCTAAATTCTTCGTTTCCGACGTTGAAGTTCTGTCATCTCGTCGTCAATTTTTAATGGCTATCGTAACATAATGTATGTAGATTTTTATTTTAACATTTTAAAACAATTTGGTACACACATACTTTTGTCATAAAACATGTTTCTCTATCCAGCCTGAGCGTGGCGCTTTGTATCTTTTATAGCCTATCAACGGGTCAAATGAAGCTCAGAAATTTATACATGACTTATGCATAGATGTAGTAATATAATAAATATTGAAAGAAGAATTCGGGTTCATGTAATTATTTTTTCATTATCAAGAATAATTAGATCAATGTATGGGTGATTATCATGGCAGCAGTGAAAGCAAATACATCAACATCACCTTCTGTTGAATTAAGTTCATATCGTGATCAACATTTTAAGGTTTGTTGACCGACGCTACTTAACCATTTTTTATGCAGTGCTTTTATACATTATATATAATTATATATATATATATATTAACGAAACCTTGAAATATTGGTTATTGCATGTTCTAGAAGTTCGTGTACAGTCGTTTAGTTACTAATAATGTTTTCTTTTACCAGGGCTCGAGAGCCGAACAAGATAGGTTATTGAGGAATTCTACCACTTTGTATGTTGGTAATTTATCTTTTTATACTACAGAAGAACAAATATACGAATTGTTTTCAAAATGCGGCGATATTAGGCGAATTATAATGGGTTTAGACAAGTATAAAAAGACACCTTGCGGTTTCTGCTTTGTTGAATATTATCAAAGAGCAGACGCTGAAAGCTGTATGCGGTACATCAATGGAACACGTTTAGATGACAGAATAATCAGAACAGATTGGGATGCTGGTTTTATTGAAGGCAGACAATACGGAAGAGGAAAGACTGGAGGCCAAGTATGCGCTATTATTTTGTATAATGCAATTATTTTGTGCAAAATAATATATGTTACGTTTACTTAGGTGAGAGACGAATACAGATCAGACTTTGACAGTGGAAGAGGAGGATTTGGTAAAATAATGCAGCAGAAAGTGACACCAATTGCCGATGGAGGCTTTGGACGTTAAAATTTGGATTGTACACGAATTCCGGCTCAAGATTTTGTATGTGTAAATAAGCTATAATAGTATTCGATCTGNACGTATCAGAAAGAATTTATCTGTTAACTTTTATGTGAACAATTACGGAAATGAAAATATCTTGGCGGCTTCACCTTCGCCGGATTTGACTGTCGCTCAACAACAAAACTTTACCACATGAATAGATGGCGTTTTGTATATGTATGATATACGTTCTTATCCTGAACTGGCTATGAAATCCCTAGTAACTAGAACCTAGTTCCTTCTTTAGTTCTGGATTGCTTTATGTATGAATTATATTTAGTATGATATTGCTTTATGTACAATGATTTTCCACCTTAATGTTATGTTTGGTGGATTAGTGCTTGTAATATTTTCAACTAAAACTTTATAATTATTTGTCGCTATTTTCCAATTACGTTGAAATTCATTACTGTCGGACGATTTTATATGTTTTTGATTATAAGCTTCCGTTCTCAAGGAACTTGTACCAAATATAGTTTTGTTCTTGGGTTTATGTAAAATGCCGGGAACTTTGGGTAATTTTTCATCTTCTTGTAAATTTGAATATAAGCTGCTCATAGCATTCATTATTTCTTTAATTTTACTTTGCTGCAACTCGTTCGTATTTGTATCAAAATATAGATATTTACTAGGTACGTTTGTAATTATATTTTGATTTATTCTGTCACAATAATATAAAATCGATTGTGTTTTTGTAGCATTAGAGAATACAGTCTTTCCTTCACCTGTAGTTAATAATCTTCCATTCTTTTTGTTAAGGTGATCATTTTTAGACTTTAGTATACCTTTTGGTAATCCGAAAGAGATAAAAGGCACACGTTTCACTACGAGTTTTTCAACAATATAATCGCATTCTTGAGATTTTTCATTGAAAAAACTTTCATGGGAGTCCTTTTTGCGAATGACTTTAAAGCAACTAAAAAGGAACTTGTAACAATTTCTTTTAGTACCAGAAGCAGAATAATTTTGGGATGAATCAGAAATTTTAGTTTCAATCGAAATAATAGAATTTTGTAGTTTGCTGTTCTTCATTTTGAAGATCCTTTACCATAGTATGATATAATTTAATTATTATGATTTTCTAAATTCTTCGTTTCCGACGTTGAAGTTCTGTCATCTCGTCGTCAATTTTTAATGGCTATCGTAACATAATGTATGTAGATTTTTATTTTAACATTTTAAAACAATTTGGTACACACATACTTTTGTCATAAAACATGTTTCTCTATCCAGCCTGAGCGTGGCGCTTTGTATCTTTTATAGCCTATCAACGGGTCAAATGAAGCTCAGAAATTTATACATGACTTATGCATAGATGTAGTAATATAATAAATATTGAAAGAAGAATTCGGGTTCATGTAATTATTTTTTCATTATCAAGAATAATTAGATCAATGTATGGGTGATTATCATGGCAGCAGTGAAAGCAAATACATCAACATCACCTTCTGTTGAATTAAGTTCATATCGTGATCAACATTTTAAGGTTTGTTGACCGACGCTACTTAACCATTTTTTATGCAGTGCTTTTATACATTATATATAATTATATATATATATATATTAACGAAACCTTGAAATATTGGTTATTGCATGTTCTAGAAGTTCGTGTACAGTCGTTTAGTTACTAATAATGTTTTCTTTTACCAGGGCTCGAGAGCCGAACAAGATAGGTTATTGAGGAATTCTACCACTTTGTATGTTGGTAATTTATCTTTTTATACTACAGAAGAACAAATATACGAATTGTTTTCAAAATGCGGCGATATTAGGCGAATTATAATGGGTTTAGACAAGTATAAAAAGACACCTTGCGGTTTCTGCTTTGTTGAATATTATCAAAGAGCAGACGCTGAAAGCTGTATGCGGTACATCAATGGAACACGTTTAGATGACAGAATAATCAGAACAGATTGGGATGCTGGTTTTATTGAAGGCAGACAATACGGAAGAGGAAAGACTGGAGGCCAAGTATGCGCTATTATTTTGTATAATGCAATTATTTTGTGCAAAATAATATATGTTACGTTTACTTAGGTGAGAGACGAATACAGATCAGACTTTGACAGTGGAAGAGGAGGATTTGGTAAAATAATGCAGCAGAAAGTGACACCAATTGCCGATGGAGGCTTTGGACGTTAAAATTTGGATTGTACACGAATTCCGGCTCAAGATTTTGTATGTGTAAATAAGCTATAATAGTATTCGATCTGTCGCATTTACAAATACAAATTATATCTAGGCTTTGATTTTAAGAGTTGTAAATATATATGAAAGTTAAGTATGAACTCATGACACTGGTAAAAATTATTAAATTTTAGCAAGTACCGTATTAAGGGGGATTATTTCTTAAACAGCAGTAATCCACGGCATCAGCTCTTTTTATGCTGCAATTATGCCATAATTAATCTTCATATAGGAGAGATTTAGTTTGGGATTTTACCGCTATGTAATGATGGTGTTTCTATACCTGTGAGCTGGCATTTTATGAGAAATTAATTAACTTGCGAACTAACAACTCAAATTTAACATTCTTAACTTTAAACTGTTCGTAATGATCGCGTGCATCAGTCCTATATTTCAGATTGCTATAATTATGTCTTTGTTTTCTAAAAAATAGATAAACGTCCACCTAAACCTGTTCACTCAAAAAAAAATTTGATGTATAGAATATAATATAATATTTTGAAGATACAAAAATGTCTAGAAAATTCTCCTGCAATTATATTATACAAGAAAGTTGATTTATTGTTTATAATATAAATAGAGAAAATTGATTACTTATCATAGCTACGGATGATTTTTGTAGAGTTGTAGTAAATTGTATAAAGTAAGAATTGAAAGAATATCCTGATCATGCAGAAATTTTCAAGAGCATCCTGCATCTGTATTATACAAAAAGGTTTATTTATGGATGTATATTTGTGGATTTGAAAATTAAAAATATATTTGTGACGGGAGTAGCGCCACTTGTGGTAAAATTTCAAATTGATAGACAAATTACGGTCTGTAGATAATTCGTAGAAACATCAGACGGCACCATTGTGCATTTCCAAAGATATATTACTCTGTTGGTAAATTTCTCCAACAGTTTAAGCGTTTTACCACTACGCAAAGTGGCGCTATACGAACCTTGAATAAAGCGCGGTAAAGTTGATGTGTTATATGGTCACTATTTTCTGAGCTGAATATTATTGAAAGAATAATTTTTGGCATGTCTGTATTGCCGTGAGAATTTTGGAACTTCTGTAAATTAAATTAAAGCTAGAGAGTCACACTTTATGATATAGTTGTTCACGCGGCCTGATCGATAAAAGATAAAACGAAATAATCGTGCGAGTTTGGTGGTGTATCATTGAGTTTCGTTTTATATTGCATAACAAATCGTCGTCACCTGCTTACTTTTCGGCCTATGCTAAAAGAAATGTGAAAAATGCGTCGTCAACAATGTGTGTGTTAGCGGCAGCTTATTTTCAAGGGAAATCAGTAATTTATGGTAGGGTCAGGGTTTGAGTATAGTCTCTTAAGATATACATACATAGTTCTGTTGGCGGACAAATCTTAGGTGATGGTTGGCAACACGAAATTGTGTATCCGATGCGATTCGTTGACACATGTTTAGAAAGTTATGCAGGCGACCTGAGGTCATACTGGTTTCTCAAAGAACAAGGATATTCTTCCTGAAAGATTTGGTTATAGAGAAGAGTAATAAAATAATTAATAATAAATAATAATAATAAGCATTAATAAAATTTATATTATTATATTTATATTATTGATAGCATTATAATAAATAATTAATAATTAGTGATAAATGCATAGAAGAGCATAACCGATCAGGCACATAATCCACAGAATAGGAAAATAAGTTATAAACGGCGAACCGTCATTAAGACTCTCTAAACATCACATCTCTATACCATGTTATCAATCTATTATCTTTCACACCAAATATCCGTAAAACATACCTACTTACTCCATCCCCACTCCACTTAACTTTCCATTATCTGTACCATTTTCCAACGTACTCGATAGCAGTACCAAACCACGCTTACATCCGACCCTCCCTAAAAGATCGCCCAATACCTCCAAAGCAGATCAGTTTCAATGTTTAAAGTAAACAGCCATTTTCAAAATCACGATAGAGATCAGTTCTTTGGACAGGATGGTTTTCCTCGCTCGGAACTCAATAAATTTTATCAAAAGATAAATGAATCTATGTACCATTAATATATATATTATAAACTAATTAATCAAAAGAGAATTAATCTATATACCAATCGATAAAATTCGTTTGCTGCTTATTGAAAATGCGCTTCGATTCTGTAGGGCGTATACATGTACCTATATGACCTTGAAATGTAATACACGGTGAGGTGTAAGTTGGCGGCATACACGTGGGATGAAGTCATTGACCTTAAGAATACTTTCCACTTTCTATTTAATACGACCACGTTGGTCTGACCTCGTTTAGTTAATCCAACACTTCCCCTGTTATTTCTATGGTCACTGATGTATTTATAATTAATGACAATAATACTTGTAAATAATAATGCAATCATTGATAGTAGCAGTTACACATTTGATGTACAAAAGAGAATACATGTAGTACGTGAATCCAATATTTACATAAAAATAATAAGTGACATAGAAAGTATATCTCTGTCCATTTTTACTACAGTCATTATACTGTTCGTCTCCTGCTATACATTTTCTTATGATACGTTATCAGGCAAGAAGTATGAAAGAGAAGCGTTCACTTTGTTATAAATATCGGCATCTGGGTCCGCACACGAGTATCGTGGCCTATTCGAAAGAAAAAGGATGGGCTGACCAATGTTCTCTGTTCTGTTTGCAACTTTGGTTTCGGTATGATCACGAGTCATTTCTGAGGTCGCCGCTGGCATAGCTTAAAACAAGTCGCGTTGAGATTGGTCAAGGTACGACATCGTTCTAGAGTTGATTGCTACCTCGATCCTTACCCCACCGGTCTTCGCTCCCCGCTCTTCAGATTTCTAGTTGGTCCATGCCCCCCCCCCCCCAGTATACTGTTCAACCTCTTCTATCTTCGAACCCTCGTTGATCTCGCCGCGTTCCCGACACTGTGTGTGTTTGGAACCACGTAAATCGTGTTGACCCACGTGTCGTCCCAGGACCGTCTTTCGCAATCGTTGCGCCTCGTTCTTTATAAATTTCCGATACATTTTATTATCGCTTGTTCGTCAGTCCAAGTATAATATTATTTCTGCGTGGTATTACATTATTATTATTACATTACATTATTACTACATTACTACATTACTAATTATTATTACAGTATTACATTATTATTCAGGTTGTGTTATATACATCGAAATGTACATAATCGTATTGTATACATCGAAGTAGAAATATAGATACATTTTCGAAATAATAATTTTCATTTCATAAAAATATGCAATATGATAGTTGCAAGAGTAACTTGCGCAATTGCAATTTGAAATACAAATCTTATCTATGTACGTCCACGTAAAAGACATTGAAGCATTTTATCCTTTAAATGCAATGTAATGTTATCGTTGTGTAATATGTTACATAATACCGTAAAATGTATGTAAATGTATGTAACGATTGTGGGTTACAAAAGAAGCTCTAACAATCGTTTTTCATAACTTACATAGTAAAGATCTGGTGATATTGAGAATAAGGTTTAACGGACAATTTACGTGTACGTGTCAACGAAGGGCCAGTATCTTAATATCACCGATTAGTGAAACCTATTTTATATTATAATTATAATTTGTATTTATTATATTATATTTTATATTATATTATATCATTTATTATTTTATTATATTATTATATTATATTATATATTATTTATTATTTTATTATATTATTATATTATATTATATATATTTTGTATTATATTATAATTTAAAATCCTGAACACTTTTCATAATACTTTACGTTCACGATATACAATTTACAGCGATTAGACATACAAATTATTTGAATTTGTGCATTTATGAAACGCTATTGAAATAGTATTTTTGCTGAAATTGTCACAGCTGTTCTTGCCAATTTACTTCTCCATATCGATATAGTACTCTGCATCTACACCGTAAGGTTATACTAACATTTTTTTTTTTGAAGTTGATATTATTAAATTTTGCAAAAGATTCTTACATGATTTCGACAAATTCTACTAAGCTTTAATATTTGTCAGATGTGGCAGCCAATATAGTTGCCACTTTGCCACTGCTCCTGCGTCGTGTCGTGTGTTTACGTGTGTGTGTGTCTGTGTGTGTGTCTGTGTGTGTGAGACGAGCACAGCTCAGGAATATTAACACACACATATACAAAACATTGAACGACACATCGTTGCTGTCGTTGTGGTGGCGCACGCGGCGTCCAATGCCCTGCCGGAGGCAGTCGTCGTGGTTTCTACCCGGCACACGTGCACCGCTCGCACTGGGTCATTGCTCTTCTCCGTTCGAAACCAATATCGTTGCGGCGCACGACACTTGTCCCGGGCATGACCACGACGGCACCGATTAAAATTTGACTGTTTTTGAACGGTTGCGTTTAAAAGGACGAAGTTACAATACTTATATCAACTTCAACTACATTGTTTACACTATCAGAACTTGTTCTTCTATTCATAGATAATGTTTATTTAGCTGAGAGCTAAAGTTAGAATATTANGAAGTTGATATTATTAAATTTTGCAAAAGATTCTTACATGATTTCGACAAATTCTACTAAGCTTTAATATTTGTCAGATGTGGCAGCCAATATAGTTGCCACTTTGCCACTGCTCCTGCGTCGTGTCGTGTGTTTACGTGTGTGTGTGTCTGTGTGTGTGTCTGTGTGTGTGAGACGAGCACAGCTCAGGAATATTAACACACACATATACAAAACATTGAACGACACATCGTTGCTGTCGTTGTGGTGGCGCACGCGGCGTCCAATGCCCTGCCGGAGGCAGTCGTCGTGGTTTCTACCCGGCACACGTGCACCGCTCGCACTGGGTCATTGCTCTTCTCCGTTCGAAACCAATATCGTTGCGGCGCACGACACTTGTCCCGGGCATGACCACGACGGCACCGATTAAAATTTGACTGTTTTTGAACGGTTGCGTTTAAAAGGACGAAGTTACAATACTTATATCAACTTCAACTACATTGTTTACACTATCAGAACTTGTTCTTCTATTCATAGATAATGTTTATTTAGCTGAGAGCTAAAGTTAGAATATTAGGAAACCAGAAAAGATAAGGAAAAAAGAAATGTTATTATTATTAGTACATTTATCACGAAACGTTGTTGGAAGTTGTAAGAGAGAAGTTATTTTCATTCGAAAACCTTACATAACAATTATTAAAAAAAGTATTCAATATGTATTTAAAAATATAAATCTTTAAATAGAAATGTAAGTTAACGTTTAGGAGAACCCTAAAGATGAACCAGGTACGTAAACATTGATCCGAAAATAAATTGTTCTTCCGATATGAATATTCGACCACTGATAACGAATCTGTGATTAACGAAGCTTATCGTAACGTATCGTACCGTGTCGTGTCGTGTCGTGGCGTTACATACGCGTGTATAGTATGTATCATGTGACCGCTCGCGTCCCTATAGACCGGAGATATTTTCATCCTCGTCTGTCGGCGTTCTCCGTCGTGTTCACGACGCGAATTGCGGGGTCGGCCGAAACCACGACGGCTGCCTCCACGTGCTGCGAAAAGCACTTAGTCGCCCTAAATTGTAGGTCGGCCGTCGTAGGCGCTGTGGTGGGGGTAGCGCGTGTAGAGGGGCGAGGGCCGAGCACGGCGCTTCGGCTATGATCGATGATTTCCGTCGGCGTTCGGCACGGCCAGGCGGTAAACATTGCACAGTACGATTGGCCGTGTCCTGAGGCGGGTCCTTTGGTTTTCAAGTTTGAGTTTTTTGTCGGCGTTCAACTGTGAGAAGTGACAAACGTATGCGACATGCATTAACGGAGACTCGTGCACGCGTTTCTGTTCGTTTCGACAAATTTTTTCTGTTATCCTGTTGATTTGTGATCGATCATAGAACGATGAGAAGAAACGTGGTGTGTATCGACTGCGCGAGGGTGTAAGAAGAACGGCACAGGTGGGTGAATTTGACATTTCTTAGTTTCACATTTGTCTTCGTTCTAGTCCAAATCAGTTCTCTCGAAGTTGAACAGAGTTCAAATACAAGCTGCAGAACGGTGAATAACATTCTACAGAAATGATGTCCTCTTTCTCAATTTTCAATTAAAATATTTCACGTGTTAACGATATCAGACACAAAAATCGAACAAAAAATGTTATTTCATTCATCTTAAAATCGATTGTTTATCGATAGATAAATAGTTGACGCGAAACACATTGAATTCTCAAAACACCGACTGCTATTTCTGGAAAATTCCAAGTGTTTCTTAAAACGTTATGCACCGAAAAAGCTGACTGGTTGACATTTCAAATGTTGACGCTCGTGAACCGGGTGCTGATCAAATATTAATTTCGACGATTTTCTTATTGAAACACTCGCTAACTTAAATTCTTAGCCGCAAATCTTATTTAAAATTAATGTGAAAAAGTACTGAGCAAAGGCTGGCCTATAATGTGTGAAAAAAAGATTAAAAACAGCAAAAGAAATTCCGATAAATGGATCGGATGGCAGTTTTGTCAGCCGCGCGAGCTTAGGTTGTATTCGAAACGTCTGTTCCGCCATCGATTGTATTTTCATATTCTTCGAGTATGGCGAAGCAGAGAAAAAATTGAGGAAAGAAAGAACTGTGTGCGTAAGAAAGAAAGATCGCGATAGATTCTGTTAGAAGCGACGATATGTATCGTAGTCCGTGATGTAACTCAACGTCCTTACTGCGCTGCGAGTTGCACGAGGTCGGTGATCGCTATAAAAAAATGCGGCGAGTGCACGTGGAGGCAGCAGCGAGCGGTTTCTGCCGCCGCGACGCGTCGCGGCATTGCACCACCGCCGACCACGACGACCGCCTCACGAACTGAGACACGCGCGTGCAGGTTTAACCCAGCCTTAACCTATTCTGAACTGACGACCTCGTAGGAACGTGTGATCAACGTCAGACTTCTTCAATAAGCCTTCCGCCGAATCCAACGTTTTCCTATTCGAACTTTTTTCACCTTCCTCCGTTATATTAAAATATTAGCGAAAATGATCGTTGTTATAAAAAAATGTATTATCCCGAGTAAGTTGTCTCAGAACTATTAATTACGAGACGAGTATAATTTTAGAAGGATGTAAAAAATTGCACGATCTCGAAATGTCAGATGTAGAACCTTTTCTATACCCTTAGAAATATATCTGGTTACACGCGAATACAATATTTTCAGTTCAGACAATAAACAATTTTTGTTTTCGTCTGATTACGTATTACGTTGTATTTATTATTACCGAACCTTTTCTATACCCTTAGAAATATCTGGTTACACGCGAACACAATATTTTCAGTTCAGACAATGAACAATTTTTGTTTTCGTCCGATTACGTATTACGTTGATTTATTATTATCGAACCTTTTCTATACCCTTAGAAATATCTGGTTACACGCGAACACAATATTTTCAGTTCAGACAATGAACAATTTTTGTTTTCGTCCGATTACGTATTACGTTGATTTATTATTATCGAACCTTTTCTATACCCTTAGAAATATCTGGTTACACGCGAACACAATATTTTCAGTTCAGACAATGAACAATTTTTGTTTTCGTCCGATTACGTATTACGTTGATTTATTATTATCGAACCTTTTCTATACCCTTAGAAATATCTGGTTACACGCGAACACAATATTTTCAGTTCAGACAATGAACAATTTTTGTTTTCGTCCGATTACGTATTACGTTGATTTATTATTATCGAACCTTTTCTATACCCTTAGAAATATCTGGTTACACGCGAATACAATATTCTCAGTTAGACAATAAACAATTTTTATTTTCGTCCGATTACGTATTACGTTGATTTATTATTATCGCGAGTGAGTTCAACTTGTGGCGTAATAGGAATCCGAATATCGTCACGGAAAAGGGGAACAGTTGACTTCTTCTGTGCTTCCCTGTTCGTAATCTTCGACAGATTCTATCACAGCGAAGAATCTTTTATTTTCCTATTCCCCTTGGGGCAACCAAAAAAAAAAAAATGAAAAGGGTCGAGCATAGCAGGTTCGTGAGTCGATAATACACGGTTTATCATAGGCCCAGTAGAATCGGTGGTCGGGGGTCGGGGACCGGGGACGGAGAGAAGTTGCAGGATGCGCGCGCGCGCGCGTGCGTGCACGCACTGGGCGTCGCACGATTCGTGGGCGTTTTTTTGATCCTCGAAGGGCGAACGGTGGGGGATCGAGTAGGCTGTTTTACCCTAAGTATCAAGGCGTTTACATACAGTTGCGTGTACCACCTAGGACGAAGTTCCTAGTATCTTCGCTCTATCTACCTCATGTCGATCTACCTCATCTAGTCTTCCAATTTTTAATTAATGCCTTGTTATTGTTACAGTACAGGTAAAATTGCTTGCCAATGTCTAAAATTACTTCTCGCATAAAGTAACAAGAACCTTGTAATTATAGTATGTAAAACACAATGTTTTCTATAAAAATGTAAAACTATCGATTTTGTACATCGAACGTACAAAGAATGTTTTCCTACAATGACAGTCATTTGTATTTAATTAAGGAATTGTTTAACTTCCTTCCGCGCTAATTTTTTCAAACAACGGGCATTTAAAACATACGAAAAGTACGAATCAAATCAATTCGATGAATACTAATTTGTGCTATTTCTTTTCAGATTTGTAACTCGATAACGAAGAATGGTTGGTTATTATCAAGTCGAGCCATTTTCAAGTACAAGAACGATGTCAATTATCAACGAAACGGTAAACTTGGAGCCTGTGAATCCAGTGAAGAGTTTAGTTTGTAGTCCGGACTTGACCGTGTACGCGACCCCGACTTGCGGGACCGACACTCTGTCGGTAAATATCGAGGAGAAACCGTACCAGTGTCTCCTCTGTCAGAAAACCTTCGAGCAGAAGAACTTGTATCAGAGCCACCTACGCTCGCATGGTAAGGAAGGCGAGGACCCGTACCGATGCAACATTTGCGGGAAAACTTTCGCGGTGCCCGCGCGGCTAACCAGACATTATCGGACGCATACGGGCGAGAAGCCGTATCAGTGTGAATATTGTAGTAAATCGTTTTCGGTGAAGGAGAACTTGAGCGTGCATCGTCGTATTCACACGAAGGAACGACCGTACAAGTGCGACGTGTGCGAGCGCGCGTTCGAACACAGTGGGAAATTGCACCGGCACATGCGAATTCATACCGGTGAACGGCCGCACAAGTGTACAGTGTGCTCGAAAACGTTTATCCAGAGTGGACAATTGGTCATTCATATGCGCACTCACACCGGCGAGAAACCGTACGTATGCAAGGCTTGCGGCAAAGGGTTCACATGCTCGAAACAGTTGAAAGTTCATACTCGCACGCATACCGGGGAGAAACCGTACACCTGCGACATCTGTGGAAAATCTTTTGGTTACAATCACGTATTAAAGTTACATCAGGTAATTTATTAACATGTGGTAAATTTGCAGCGTCTTTTCTTCAAAAAATGATTGAGGACTGTACGAGTTACAAGATCATTCTATAATCGTTTCAGGTTGCACACTACGGCGAGAAGGTCTACAAATGCACGCTTTGTCACGAAACCTTCGGTTCGAAGAAGACGATGGAGATGCACATAAAGACGCACTCAGACTCGTCTGTCAGTGGTTCTCCTCGGGACTCGCCGATCGAACCAGAGGTAGAAATCTCACAGGGGTACAGCGTAGGCACTGCCAGCGACAAGGAGAACCAAAAGACTGACGAGCCAAGCGACGAAGCTACCGCCGCGTATAACGCACCGCGGGATTTCACCTACTACATGTATTCCAGAGAGCAATATTCTCAGCAACCACTCACGGCGCCGAGCGAAGAGAAAGCTTTCCAGACGACGCCCGTCGTCCCCATCGAGCAGTGTCACACGTTCATGTACCAAGAAGTCTCTCCGACGTACAATACCTTCGGGATTCCGAGCAACGATTTCGTCAGCGATTGTTCTTCTCTACTAAATCTGCCTGGAAATGACGCTCGCAGGCGGGTAGAAGCTGCCCTCGAAGCGGTCGAAGAGGAAAGACAGAGGGAGTACGGAATTAGGGTTGAACGGGAACCGATGCTGACACCGCCGAGCAGTAATCCTGTCAGCCCGGTACCGTCGCCGGATCCTCTCGACTTGGCTATTCCTGTGCGAGAGACGTTAATTCTTCCGCCGAGGAAGAGGTGTAAAATGATTCTAGAATCGATGGAGAGCGAGAGGATCGGATTCATTGCCTCCCAGAGACAGAACTCTGTTATTCAGTTCGCCAAGGCTTCATAGTGGAAGATTTCGAACTCGTTTACGGTGAACTGGTGATAAGTTCGCGTACGGTAAGACGAAACTCCCCTCGACCGCGCAGGCGGTCATCATCTTTCCATAGGTACCTCACCCAGACTCGACCTTTGTCATCATTGTCCATAGCTTCCCGAGCTGCCCAACACAATGTCGAAGCATAGGCGATTGATGCTCGCTGGACATCCAGATGCACTATAGGCTCTGCTTGCCTTCGTAAAGAGACGTGTAGCTAGGTCGAGAAGAATTCAGATATTCTCACAATCACGGACGAGGTTGTTTCGCCGAGTTTCCCGAGCTTGAGTTGAACTTCTTGCAAGAATCATGCTGATCAATGAAAATCTACTAAACAAAGACTGAACCGAAAGAAAAGTAATAATATTTTCCGATTTTGCAAGGGCAGGATCCCTTCTAAAATATCATTGCAGGATTAAAAAACAACTCTTCGATGTTCTTTGCTTGAGCCGAGATACTTTGTCGGTAGATATTTGATTTCTTTCGCTCGATTGGTTTTAATTTATTGGCAATTCATTGTTACAAATTTGGTTTTCCTGACAAATTCGTATCGATAGAACGATGCGCAATAAAGCATAATTCAAGAACATGCAAGTGAAACAGATTGAACGTCGCCGCGCACATTAAGCTCACCAGCTAATTTAACATTACTTAGCGATGCGAAGCAGCAAACCAATTGCAAAATTCCTCGATTTTTTGGATAGTAACCGAGAAATGATTTCTCAATGTCTCGGGAACTAGCGGTAACTTTAAGATAAGCAAAAGTCGAAAGACGAACAAGTTCAAGGATCGCGTAATCTTTTTGCTAACGAAAGTGTCGAATGTCCTTGGATTTTAGTCGCGGAAGAAAGACACTAGAAACATTCGCTTTGCTTTGCTTTCTTCGATATTTAGCTGGCGTGCTCTGCGTCATATTTTTTCTTGTATCTCACGTAATGTGTACGTGTTCCCGGATATTTGTGTGTGTGAATGCGTACTTGCGTGTATATATATATACATATATATGTTAAGTTGCAGCGGACTAGCGTAAAAGTAATGAACAACGTGAAGGCCTTGGAACGAACATGTATAGTCGAAACTAGTTCTCGTTCGATGAAATACGAGAAATCTTTTCCTTTTTCTCTGGTTTTTTAAGACGGTACTTTATTGTAGTAAAGCATATAAAGTACACGATTCGTTTTAAAACATCGCTAAAATGTTCAAGAAATAGCTCAAAGCAGAGTAACCGCGCCCATAAATAAACCATGGTCTTTTGTTCATTTTCTTATATGTTATAGAGGAGATTTTTAAAAAACTGATACGGCCATAGGTGTTGATTAGTTCGAAGGCTACGTAACTTGTACCGAAAACAACAAGTTGTTTTAATTGTTAAAATTTGAACGTAGTACGTGTTTTGTGTATCGTGAAATTTTCCATAATTTGATCGTGATCAAGTAATCGAATGTTCGTGTAATAAATATTCCAATCTTGCCAAAAAAACTACAAAAGAGACTGATACCAGTCTGACAAACACATTTGTTCGAGCGTGACAAGCTTCCCAATGATACATTGTTTAATATTATCGTGTGTAGGTCCTATAATAGATCGAAGTGATATTAAAACACGTAATTGCTCAATTTCGTCGTTGTTAGACACATATTGTTTTCGGTAGATACTTTTCAATTGGTTCAAGACGATTTTCCACAAATTATTTTTCTCCCTGGAGTTTTACTTTCGTTCGTTTCGAACATCTAATATGGCGAAATTCGAATTTATTCACGTCATAGAAACTGTCGATGTACGGGTGAACGATTGGCAATCAACGTCTCTGTTCGAACAATAATACAGTTTGTTAACCGATGCTTTGCAAGGAAAGCCTTAATACTGATCGCAAGGAAGGTCTAGCAAACGATCGAACTTTGTCCGCTTTATGAAACTTTCGATATCTATAGATTTCTATAGAAAGGATGAATAACGACGACTGCATCAGTAACACAATAAGTTGTTTGAAGTACAAACGCATTGAGTCGATACAGACGAATCCGTCGCTCAATGAGCTTGGAAAGGTAAAAAGAATTGAAAAATATGTATATTTTAAGTATAAGTGCTGATTCGCGGAGTAGTGCTCGCGAGTCTAGCAGAATACTGTTTTAATGAAAACAAAGGGGGAAAAAGAAAGAAACAGATCTTACTGGGATAAATGACCGAATATACAGTTTCCCACCGTAAAAACGAAATCAACGGGGAAGAAAGTACCAAACAATTGATATCTCTGTGATAAGAACTCCATAATGCCAGAGTATTGAGGGGAGCTATGCCCACTGCCAGTACAAGCGTGCTAATCGTATCAGAGCATGCGTGCAACTTTCATATTAAATATTCAATCGTATTATCACGATTAATAATTCGTAGCCATATGTGCCCGCATTTGGCTTCGCACCGATACGACGGAAAGAATGTTTTATAAATTGAAGACTAATTTTCAAGGTGGAACATTCAGCAAAGTGCATCTGGTCGAAATCGATCGTGACGTGTTCGAAATATGTATATCTGGTCTTTTAGGTTCTCAAATTTTTTGAGACCATAGTATTATTTAAATGTTTTGCATTCGAGTTACTTTTGNCATTTGGCTTCGCACCGATACGACGGAAAGAATGTTTTATAAATTGAAGACTAATTTTCAAGGTGGAACATTCAGCAAAGTGCATCTGGTCGAAATCGATCGTGACGTGTTCGAAATATGTATATCTGGTCTTTTAGGTTCTCAAATTTTTTGAGACCATAGTATTATTTAAATGTTTTGCATTCGAGTTACTTTTG